CCTTTGAGCAGTCTTCTCCTCGCAGAAACCCGCCCTCCCACTCCTGATTTTCGCCATGGAGGGGAGGAGATTCTGGTTGCCGCCCCGCGTCTGTTTTCTCAACCCAAATTTGGGAGAGGGTGTCAGGTTCCCGGTGAGGGCGGGGCGGGGGTGGCTGGCCTGAAGGACGTGGGGACACGGGCCAGAGTGACTGGCCCCACAAGCAAACAGGAGTGAACCTGAGCTGTGAGTGGAGTGGGGGGCAACGCAGGGCTGCCCACCAGACTCAGCGCAGTGCGGGGGCGAGGACTCGCGGGGCCCCATGGGGTCGAAACGGGGCACCCAGACCCCGCCGTGCTCCCGACGACAACGCTTCCCGGGGCACTTCGTCTCCACCCCGAGGCCGCCCTTCACTGCCCTCTGCGATCCTGAAGTTTTCAAGGCCTTGACCCTCGTCCTGCACCATTGCAGCGGAGCCTGCCCTGAACGCGGGCACGCGGGTTTGCCGGCCGTTGGCCCGGCTGGGGTGTTGGGCAGGGGGTGGGCCTGGGGCCCTGGCTGGGTGGCCGCTAGTACGGTGGGGGATGGGACATTCTGAGGGCGGGGCAGCCCTGAGCCCTCCAGAGCCCCTTCCTGCCCCCTCCCAGGTGCCAACCAACCCCCAGGATGGCAGAAGCGCACCAGGCTGTGGCCTTCCAGTTCTCTGTGACCCCAGATGGGGTCGACTTCCGACTCAGTCGGGAGGCCCTGAAACACATCTACCTGTCTGGGATCAACTCCTGGAAGAAACGCCTGATTCGCATCAAGGTGGGCATAGGTGTTTCTCCTGGTCTCTTCTTGCCAGCAGGTGCAGAATAGCTTTGTAGCGGCAGAGTCCAGGTGTCAGCTGCTGCTCTGTTGTCAAGGTCCTCCATCCCAGCCTTGGCTGACAATTCTGCTGGGGAACAGGCTCTAGCAGTGCAGAAACCCGGGGTGTGCTCAGGGTGTGGAGAGAAGGCCGGTGTGCAAGAAGTGGCAGTGGGCCCTAAGTAATGGGGTGCTGCAGGTGTTGGGTGTGGAGGAGGGGAAGACCAGGCATGAAGGGGGGCGGTAAGAACACAGCAGGTGGCCAAAGGAGAAAACCTTCCAGGTGAAGACCAGGACCTCACAGGTGCTTGCTTGCTGTTGGTAATCATGCTTGTTTCTGCCCCACAGAATGGCATCCTTAGGGGTGTGTATCCTGGCAGTCCTACCAGCTGGCTGGTTGTCGTCATGGCAACAGTAGGCTCTTCCTACTGCAATGTGGACATCTCCAATGGGCTGGTCTATTATATCCAGAGGCACCTCCCTGAGGGGTGAGGATGGGGCCCCAAGAGAGGTCGAGTGGGCTCCAAAGCCAGGGTTCCTGAGCTGGGCAGACACAGGACTAGCCATTAGGGGTCATGGGCGCAGCCCTCCCCCCAGGCCTCCATCATCTATCTCAGTCCCACGTCCATAAGTGCATGTGTTGCACTTAGTTGTGAGTGTGCCCAGGGAGGTTCCTTTCCTTTGGTGCGTCCCCCAAGGTGGTTCACAGCCAGGGTCAGAATTTCCCTGAGGCTGGCCTCTGGTGAACCCCCTGAAGCCCTCTCCCCTTCTTTGACAGATATGGCCCCTATGAAACCCCACAGACACGGGCACTTGTTAGCATGGCCATCTTCTCCACGGGAGTCTGGATAGTGGGCATCTTCTTCTTCCGTCAAACCCTGAAGCTGCTGCTTTCCTACCACGGTTGGATGTTTGAGATGCACGGCCGGACCAGCCGCCTCACCAAAGTCTGGGCTGTGAGCAGAAGCTGATAGAGGGCTTCAGGCATCTGGTCTGAGACCCTGGGGGCCTCCTGTGGGGTCCTGAGCTGGAGGGGACAGGCAGAGGGCACTGGTGCCTGGCACATGGCTGTGTCCTGGTTCTGAGAGCTTGGGGCCCAGCTCCTCAGGTGCTCGCTAGTTTGTTCCCATTCTGTTCCCTGGTAACCAGCCCAACACTCTCTGCTCTGCACCCCCAGGCCTGTGTCCGCCTTCTGTCCAGCGGGCGGCCCATGCTCTACAGCTTCCAGACATCCCTGCCCAAGCTTCCCGTGCCCAGTGTGCCGGCCACAATTCAGCGGGTAAGGGCCTGTGTCAGGCATCCTGGTGGGCAGGGTAGGCTAGACTTGGGACTTGTCCAAACCAGGAAGGACTGTCCCCTTCAAAGAGCAGATTTGAGAGCAGTGGGGCTGGGGTCAGAACAGGGTCTGGACAGAGGCAGCCATTGTTGTCTGGCCCCCACACTGACGGTAACCTGGCTGGACAGTACCTGGAGTCTGTGCGGCCCTTGTTGGATGACAAGAAGTTTCACCGCATGGAGGCGCTGGCCAAGGAATTCCAGGACGAGACTGCCCCCAGGCTGCAGAAGTACCTGGTACTCAAGTCGTGGTGGGCAACTAACTACGTGAGTCCCTTTCCTGGGCTTACCCTCACCCCCTTCGTGTCACGGCTGCCCACACCCTGCCCTAACCCTAACCCTAACCCTAACCCTAACCCTAACCCTAACCCACCTGCAGGTGAGTGACTGGTGGGAAGAATACATCTACCTTCGGGGCAGGACCCCCATCATGGTGAACAGCAACTATTATGCCATGGTAAGAGGTAGCCAAGTGGTCCTGTGTGCTCAGCTCTGTCCTCAGCTCCTGGTCTCAGGGCAAAGGACCTGGAAGACAGCCTAGAGCTCTGGTGGTACTTCCCACAGACAAGGGAGGATTCTGGAGTGAGGCCTGAAAGAAAGGGAAGATGGGGGAGGTCCTGGTAGAATAGTCAAGAAGCAGTTTAGGGGTGATGGGGATACTGAGGGTCCCCATTGGGAGAATCCAGTAGCCCCACAGCCTGACACTCGTTCTCAGGGTCCCTGGGGCTCACTCACATCAATGCCCAGCCCAGGCCCCATCCCTTCCTTCCTTGGTTTCTTCAGTGGCCTCCTGGTCATGGGCTCTCAGCCATCCTGATGCCATTACCAGGGAGTTTCCTTAGACAGGCTTGCTTTTGTGTCACTCTGTGGATCCAGAGCTGCTTCTCAGCACTCAGAAGGCCACTGTTGGCCCCTGCATTGTGTGGCTGGCCCTCCTCCTGCCCCAGCACTAGCCTGTGCACAGCCACAAACCATGCAGCGCACCTCAGTGCTCTCCCACTGCCCAGAGCTCATTCTGAGTTGCATGCTGTATTCCCTTCCTCCCCACACCCGTCTGCTCAGAAACTTACACACAGCTCATCTGTACCTGAGGTTTTAAGCTGTTTTCTTAGTGGAGGGAACCCCTTTCTCAAAGCAAAATAAGACACCAGCAAGTAGGTGATGGAATAGCAGCTCAGGTCAGAACTGGGACAGGGAGTGATGTGGTCAGTTGGGCGTTTCATCTTTGGCAGTTCACCTGACAGTGAGTGGGGGACAGACTGGGGAAAAGGGACAAGACCCCTCAGGCCCTGGGCAAGGAGACCAGCTGACACCCCACACCTGTCACAGCTGCCCTGAAGCCTCTGCTGTCTCTCGTAGGACTTTGTGTTCGTCAAGAACACGGATGTGCAGGCCGCCCGCTTGGGAAACATTGTTCACGCCATGATCACATACCGCCGTAAACTGGACCGCGAGGACATTAAGCCCGTGAGTTGTGTTGGGGTTGAGGGCTGAAGGGAGAGGAGGCCCCACCTTAGCCATGCTGGGCCTCCCTCCCAGGTGATGGCACTGGGCATCGTGCCCATGTGCTCCTACCAGATGGAGAGGATGTTCAACACCACTCGGATCCCGGGCAAGGAGACAGGTATAGCCACAGCGTCAGTGGTGAGGCTGTTGACACAGAGCCCCCTCCCTCTCAGCTGTGGGCCCGCCCTGGCTAGGTGCCCACTACCTGTTCCGTAACTCAGTTTCCTCACTGTCTCAGGAATGTGTAACTGTCAGAGATAGCCCATTTCTAACCAGTGCTAGACACTTGCTGTTTACAGGCATGACACCAGTGCTGGGACCCTGATTCCCAGCTACAGGGCTCCCATGTAGGGGAGGTACCCCCTGAGAAAGGATCACTTGGAGGAGTGCTGCTGCCCTTGACAGAGGAGGGCGGGCTCCCCGGGGGTCTGGCAGGGACAGGCACAGCATCCCGTGTTTCTGACACTGGGAGTTTGTCTCATTTCCTCGAGCTTTCGTTTCCTCTTCTATGAATGCCTCCGAGGACTGTTGTTGGCATAAACAAGAGGTATGGAAGCAGCCGGCACAGGCCCTGGCTTCATATGGGTGATTCCGCCCCTGGGAAGGAGGCCCAGGCGGAGGCCAGCTAAACATGGGCCGCATGGGCCACTGAGGGAGCACATGGTTGGTGGGTCCAGTCCAGGGCGGCAGCGGGAAAGGAGGTGTTCCCTGTCCTCCACCATCCTGCCTCTGCCCACACACTAACCTCTGTCACAGACGTGCTGCAGCACCTCAAGGAAAGCAGGCACGTGGCAGTCTACCACAAGGGCCGCTTCTTCAAGGTGTGGCTCTACGAGGGTTCCCAGCTGCTCAAACCCCGGGACCTGGAGCTACAGTTCCAGAGGATCCTGGATGACCCCTCCCCACCGCAGCCTGGGGAGGAGAAGCTGGCGGCCCTCACTGCAGGCGGAAGGTACCCCTGCAGGCAGACGCTGTCCTGGATGAGGGTTTGGGTCCCCTGAGGGGAGGGGTTTAGCCCTGCATGGCACCCCAGGACTTGGAACCAGAGGCATGATCAAGGAAGAGGCGTGCCACGCCCAGCGTCCTCTTTCCAAACTGGGACCCGAGGTAGCGAGGGGACTGGTGGCGATGGCAGTGGAGTGGTTGCCATAACCTCTGTGTAGTGGCTAGGGGGTTGCATAGAGGGCAGGGACACCTTCCAGGACAGCTTGCCAGCCACCCCCCATGCCCAGCTTCAGGCCCTGCCAGGTCCAGGGCAGTGCCCTCATCCACAGCCTGGGTGGCCCTGCCCTCACCCTGCCCTCCCACCCCAGAGTGGAGTGGGCACAGGCTCGCCAGACCTTCTTCAGCTCCGGCAAGAACAGGGCCGCTCTCAACGCCATCGAGCGCGCCGCCTTCTTTGTGGCCATGGATGAGGAGTCTCACTGCTACGACCCTGAAGACGAGGCCAGCCTCAGCCTCTATGGCAAGGCCCTGCTGCACGGCAACTGCTACAATAGGTACAGCTCCGCCCTGCGGCAGGGTGTGCACTCCTCCACCTGCCTTCCCTCATCACTGTGTTTCCCACACGCAGGTGGTTTGACAAATCCTTCACTCTCGTCGCCTTCAAGAATGGCCAGCTGGGCCTCAACACAGAACACTCGTGGGCAGATGCCCCTATCATAGGGCACCTCTGGGAGGTAACAGGCCCAGAGAGTGGTGCTACAGAGGGGCTGTGGAGGTCAGGGTGGGGGACCAGGATGGCCTCTCAGCCTGGTCATCTCCCTGCAGTTTGCTCTGGGCACTGACATCTTCCACCTGGGCTACGAGGACACTGGGCACTGCCTGGGCAAACCGAACCTCATGCTGACACCTCCTCAGCGGCTGCAGTGGGACATTCCTGAGCGGGTGCGCAGGCCAAGAGGGCAGGGACAGGCATGCGAGAGTGACAAGTATCTGGATGCCCTGCTGCCTCCTCCCCTCTGGCCCAGGCCTGCTCATGGGAGGGGGGACAGGAGCAGGAGCTTCTCAGGTATAGATTGGCCATAGGGTGAACAGATATCCTGGGCCAGGTGGTGGTTAGAGAAGCTGTGAAGTGTGAGCCTCATGTCTGTGGGGCACATGTCAGTGCCTTCCTCTCCCTGAAGGTGTCGAGGGCCCTGAGACCATCCAGCACAGCCCCCTGACCCTTCCCATGTCTCTATAGTGCCAGGCGGCCATCGAGAGCTCCTACCAGGTAGCCAGGGCGCTGGCAGACGACGTGGAGCTGTACTGCTTCCAGTTCTTCCCCTTCGGCAAAGGCCTCATCAAGAAGTGCCGGACCAGCCCTGACGCCTTTGTACAGATCGCCCTGCAGCTGGCTTACTTCCGGGTAGGAGCCCCACTGGGCTGCTGAATATGCAGGGCAGCCCTGGAGTCCACCTGCCAGGTTCACCCCTCTGTGTTCCCCAGGACAGGGGCAAGTTCTGCCTGACCTATGAGGCCTCGATGACTAGACTGTTCCGGGAGGGACGGACCGAGACTGTACGTTCCTGCACCAGCGAGTCCACAGCCTTCGTCAAGGCCATGATGCAGGGGTCCCACACGGTAAGCCCCCCACAGCCACACAGAGAGGTGACCCCTCCACCTCCTGCCACCATGAGGGTCAGGGCTACTACTCACGGCTTCATTCCCACCCCCCAGAAAGCAGACCTCCAGAACCTCTTCCGGAAAGCCTCCGAGAAGCATCAGAATATGTACCGCCTGGCCATGACGGGGGCTGGCATCGACAGACACCTCTTCTGCCTCTATGTGGTCTCCAAGTACCTGGGGGTCAGCTCCCCTTTCCTGGCGGAGGTCAGTGTTGCCAATGGGTGTGTCTTCTGCCCCTTCGGCCTCCTCTGAAGTTGTCCAGCAGGGCTGGGACAGGCTTCCTGCTCCGCACTCCACCCAGGCCTGTTGTCCCAGTTCTGAGCATGGAGTTGGTGTCCTTTTGAGGGGGATGGAGAGACAAACGTGAGACATGTCAGGTGTTGACAGTGCTCCTGGGAAAAGTGAAGAAAGGTGAGGGGAGTCAGGCGGGCAGCAGGTTCCCCTGGAGGGACCGCCAGTGCCCAG